GAGATGTCTTGTGTCGAGACACCTCAGCAAACAGCAAAGTAGAGTGCAAGCATCAACACATTTTGGTTGTTGCTAGAGCTCTACAATTCCAAGCTTCTCTTCCTACTATTTTCTGGGGAGACAGTGTTAAGCATGTTGTTTTCCTCACTAATAGAGTTCCATCCTTAGTTATTCAAAACAAAACCCCTTTTGAAAAGTTCCACAATCATTCTCCTAATCTCTCAGATCTAAAAGTGTTTGGCTGTCTCTTTCTTATGCCAGCACATTAGCCAACCATAGATCCAAGTTTCAATCCAGAGCTAGAAAATGAAATTTTCTCGGCTATTTTCCTGGGATTAAAGGTTACCAGCTTTATGACCTTAACTCTCATGACATATTTGTTTCTAGGAATGTAGTTTTCTATGAAACTCATTTTCCCTTTCACTCTTTATCAGCTACTGAACCTGCATCCCAAGCTCAAACCAATAACCTATTCCCCCCCCCCCCCCTTCACCCCCACCTTTTCCCATCTGCAGATGATTTTACAAATTTTCCTTTTTCCACACTTCAACATCAACCTATACCTCCTCCTTCCTCTACCCCAGACAACTCCCTCTCTCCAGCACCCAGTTCTTCCACCCCACCTTCTTCTCCTTCATCACCATCATCACCACCTCCTTCTCCTCCCAATCCTACCGCACCAACACCTCCTCCCCCTCCCCCACCAACTCTACCAGTTAGAAAATCAGACAGACAAATCAAGCCTCCATCCCATCTAACCAAAGACTACCATTGCTACCTCTTCAAACAGTCTAGCAACTCTAGTGATTCTTCTCATCAACAGGCTCCTGAGATCAGGTATCCTCTTTCCTAAGTTCTTTCTTATGACAAACTTGCATCCCACTACAAAAATTGTGTTCTCAGCATATCCACTTATCAATCACCCAACACATATAGAGAGGCCTCCCTTTTTGAACAATGGAATGCTGCTATGCAGCAAGAGTTAGGTGCTCTCATCATAAACAGGATATGGGATGTGGTTAACTTGCCCCCAGGAAAGAAAACAATTGGAAACAAATGGATTTTATAAGGTCAAGTTTGAATCAGATGGTTCTTTGTACCGTTTTAAAGCCAGAGTTGTTGCTAAAGGCAATACTCAACAAGAAGGAGTTGATTACTATTACACATTTGGCCCAATTGTCAAGATGACTACTGTTCGAACCTTTCTTGCTATTGCATCTCAAAGGAATTGGCATATTCACCAATTGGATATGAATAATGCATTCCTCCATGGAGATCTCCAGGAGGAAGTCTATATGACTTTGCCAAAAGGTTACACTCCTCCCCCAGGCTTCCATACCCCTGCCTGTCGACTAAGGAAGTCCTTATATGGCCTCAAACAGGCTTCTTGTCAGTGGTTCTCTAAGCTAACAGACTGTCTCACTCAAGATGGTTATTCCCAAAGTCAAGCAGATCACTCACTCTTCTACAAGCTCACTGACACCAGTTATACATGTATTCTTATCTACGCGAATGATCTAGTTATTTGAGGCAATGATCTCTCAGAAATTCAGCATCTCAAATCAAAACTGCACAAACAGTTCAACATCAAGGTGCTAGTTCCTCTCAGATTTTTTCTTGGCATTGAAGTGGCAAGAAACTCAAAAGGCATTCATCTATCACAAAGAAAGTACACTCTCGAGCTCATTGAAGAAGCCCAAGTTTTGGACTCAAAATCGGTATCTACTACAATGGATTACAAGCTACATCTCAGCAGCAATTATGCCAGCCCCTGTCAAGACCCAGAATTATACAGGACCCTAGTTGGTAAGCTAATCTATCTTACAACTACACGTCCTGACATTTCCTATTCTACTCAACAGGTTAGCCAATTCATGGCCAACCCAAGTGTTACACATTATAAGGCAGTGGAAAGGATTTTGAGATACCTAAAAAATGCACCTGCAAGTGGTCTCTTCTTCCTTCCTCGGGTTCCTCCAATTGAAGGCCTTCACCGATTCTGATTGGGCTGCTTGCGTCGACACACGCCGTTCCACCACTGGCTACTGTGTCTACCTCGGTGACTCCCTCATCTCTTGGAAGAGCAAGAAGCAGAAGACCGTTTCACGCTCTTCCTGCGAAGCACAGTCTCGCGCGCTGGCTTTCCTGCTTGTGAGCTCCAATGGTTGCTTTATCTTCTTCGTGATTAGCAGGTTTCCCATTTGCATGCAGCGATCCTCTTCTGCGACAACCAGAGCGCCATCTACATCTCCCAAAACCCTACTTTCCAAGAACGGACGAAGCACATTGAATTGGATTGTCATCTCGTTTGTGAGAAGTTTCTCAATAACACAATCAAATTGCTCCATGTCTCCTCCAACCACCAATTGGCGGACCTCTTCACCAAACCACTCTCACCAGCTCTGTTTCGCTACCTCCTCTCCAAACTTGGTGTGCTCAATCTGTCGCCACCAGCTTGGGCCGGGGGGGGGGGGGACATCTCAAACCCCCAAATTCAAAATCAATCTGTTGGAGGAAGAAGAGCTTCAACAGTCAACTTGAGCCGTCCATAGAGTTTTAACCGCTGCACACTGTTTATGCCTCAGCATCTCCAACTCTCCAAACGAAGTCGTTTCATTCCTGATCACTTTCTTTTCTGCCAAGCTTTGTACGTGTTTCTACTTCAAGCTAAAGAACAGAACATGAGCAATGAGCCACTGTGTCTTGTAGTGGTGATTGTTTGTATTTAAACCAAGAGATGAAATGAGAAGCTCGAGCCTCTAGGGTTTCACTTCAATCTAAAAAAATTGTTACCCCGGCCTGACTCTCACTTGATGCAGGACGGCATATGAATATCGAGATACTCTCCCCATCCCATTGCCATGAGTAGACAACCCTAGACTACTAGACGTGAGAATGTAGATCGGTTAGAATGTTTGTGAACCCATCCCGACTACTAGAGGTGAGAGTCGGCCCGGATTGTTGTGGAGCTGGCCCAACTACCCAACACTTCATTTCTTCTGCAGCTACAAGAAATCTATAAATGACATGCTACTAGATATCCCAAAACAAGTTATTCTGCAACACAATTTACACCCGTCAAGAACACAAAAGTTGATGCACTGCCAGAGAAAATCTGATTCTAAAACTAATAACAAAACAGTTTGAGGTGTGCCAAATCTCCTTTATGAATCAAGTTTCAACCATGCCACAAAATATGTTCACCTCTTTGTTTACATTTCGGTTGCTGCAAATTGGTGTATTTTTATACATTAGAAAGCTTCATCATCATCATCATCATCATCATCCAGAAGACCCTCTGGATATGAGCTAGTAAGTGGCTATATCAATTTCAGCAGTGGTAACTGGTAAGGTTCATTTCCTTCTTTTCAGTTCCAACACTCTACTGTGGAACCTTTCTTTCTTTCTCTGCTGACGAAGGCTTTATGCCAAGTATTAGACTGTCAAAGAATGCACTCGTTGATTCAGCTGCCTGGTCCCAGAGCCAAATTCTTATATGGTAGATGGTAGTTGGGCAAGAATCAATGTGAATGTCTTCCCATTCAGCTGCCTGTATATTTTGTGGTCCTCTCACAATACTAAATGGCAGATGCTGATGTTGCATTGCTTTCTCTCTCTCCCTCTTCTCTCTGATGTAGGATAACCTGAATGCATTGGCTATTGGCTTCACATTGATCCATTTTACCTATTTGCTTCCGAGGTACATGACTCCTCTAGTCCTCTTATCTCAGGATTGATTCACATCTTCATCAATAGTAGTCGAAACAATAAAGAAGCAGATTGGGTAGCTCGTAATTGTAGAATGGGTACCCTACACCCTAATTGGTTCTCTGTATTGATTGTTATTTCTGACATGGTGTAACTTTCCCGTGTCAGTTGAGTTTGAATGAACGAAAGTAATGTTTTTATATAGATTGAGCAAGAAATGATAAAGAAGACCGAGAAAGATTTAAGAGAGAATGAAAAATACATAATAGGTGATTAGATATATAGAGAGATTTGAGAAGGGGAAGAACATAGGAGAGGGATAAATTGAACAATACTTGGTTTGTCAATCTCATTCATAATTTTTGATGAATCTACTTATATATATGATTCAGTTCTAAACCCTAATAGATCTAACATGGCAAAATACTAATCTACCACTAAGTCTATCAGTAAACTACCAAGGTGCAACAAAGAGGAAAGGGAATAACATCTAGGATTCCATCTAATGCAAGGAAGTATGACCTAAATGGATAGCGAAAATTGTGCTAGTACTCCCATCAACACGAGGTGGGATTGGTATACGTTGACGTCGTTGGATCATCACTTTCTATGAGAACCTGATTGGATGGTTAGATAGACCCTAAGATCAGACAAATCAGCAATAGTTAGGCAGGAAACTCGGGGGAATGACCACTGGTTATACACATAGTTTGCAGTTTGCACCTTTCTTCCACCAACTTCATAAATCATCGACCCTCTCAATGTGTCGACAACAGTTGTCTTCTCTTCTAAGACAAAAAGTGAAGCCCTTGCGATGGTTCGTGTATGGAAAAAGAGCTGGTCTTCCACATTACGTTTCTTCTTGCCTTGCACTAAAAAGTGAAAGCGGAAAGAAGAAAGACGAAAGTCAATCCTGGAAAGAGAGCAGAAGAGGGACTTTTGGACATTCGCAAGATCTTGAAAGAATCAAAAAATGGTGTTGAAAGTTTGTATCTTTCTTCATGGTATGGCCTGCCGGTATGGCATCTTAACACTACCAACAGTCCACTCTGCGCCTATGGTAAGGTCCCAGGCACCAGCACATAGAGCAGAGAGAGTTAAATCTTGAAAACTGTTTGTAGGAAAGGTTTTGGACTTTTGCAGGCTAAATGCCTCTCTTAGATTCCTTTTCCGTTCGTCCTTTTACTGTTTCTGGAGGTTCTTTCCTCTTCTCCAATTTATTTTTCGAAATTGAAATAACCAGAATGATGTAACAATAACAACATAGCATAAAAAGAACCCTAAAGTGAAGTCTGGAACTTTTCAGTTCATTTCTCCCATTGGCCTCTCACAAACAATCCTCTGCCCGCTCTCTCTCTCTCTCTCTGACTGAAATATCTGCTGTGGTGGGAGGACTAGGAAAGAATACCACTACATGTAAATAGAGTGAGTGTCTCCCTTTAGCAACAACTACTTCTTCACTGGACAAACCATTTGTGTGTCTTCCCCCTCTCTCTCTGTTTCTCACTTTCTCTTCTACTACCCCCTGTGTTTTGCTTCTCCAAAGGAAAAAGCTCATTTCTCGTGAAGCAATGGAAGAAATGAAGCTACAGATCATACCAACAAAACCCTTCTAGCCATTTTTAACTAATCCCCATCCACATTGGCATTACTCGCTAGCTTAGCTTCCATTTCTAGCCATTCTTCTTCTTCCATCAAACCAAATGTCGATGCCACTGGGCCAGCAGCAGCAGCAGCAGCAGCCTGAAATGGGGCAGGAGCCTTTCGCCATCCACTCGTCGTCGTCCTCTCACGCTTCGATCGGGCCGGTCATCGCGGTGCTGGTGGTGATCATGATTCTCGGCATTGTGGCAGTGATGATTGGAAGGCTGTGTTCTGGAAGGACCATACTGGGGTATGGTCAGTACGATATAGAGAGCTGGGCAGAGACCAAATTCTCATCTTGCATTGACGGAAGGATTACCACCACCACCACTCCACCGCCGGCCGCCGCCACAAGAGCTCCACATCCTCCGGCGGGTGACAATGCAGTAGCTTCCCCTGCTACCACTAGTACTACTCCTGCTCATGAAGAACAAGAAGAAGATGACGATGATGAGGCTAATGCAGCAGCTTAAACTCAACTTCCACTATGGTTTCTACTCACTATTTTGGGTCTGGGAAACATTTGTTGACTGCTAAACCATTTGTGATATTGAATGAATGTTCTTGTTACTTGTTTAGGTTTGATTGACTCTGTTCTTTCTTGAATCCAATTTTCTCTCTGTTTTTGGTTATTTCGTTCTGATATTTTGATTTTTTTGGGATTGTGGGTTCACGTGAAGGGAAGGTAAGGGGACTGACACAATGAGAATGATATATCGGAGTGGGTAGTGTTATTCCCACGAAACTGTAGCCATCAGAGAAGTGAGAAGAGAAAGAAAAAGGGGATGATGGGTTTCAGTTTCAGAGAGGGAAAAAAGCTACACATGTTTGTGTTTATACCTTATGAGTTCCGACGCTTACCTCTGCTGCCTGCGGTTCCTGCCTGCCTGCCACCCAACATAATTATATTCCCATCGCGATTCGTGACCCAAAACCCACTCTCCAATCTCCATCATTGATTTAGACATTCCGGTCAATATCCCCCAATTAATTCATCTTCAGAGGAATGAATTAATGAAAGCAGTTTCTCAACAATTCGGTTGACCGGAAGTTCTGAGCCAGTTGCGAGCTCGGGAGAGAGGTAACCGAGCGGGACTAGTACCTCAATATTTATATCTGTCTTGCATCGAGTGTCGTCATAGCAAATCGACCAACAAAATGGAGCGTGGCCGACCTAGTATTCATGCCTCGTTCGATCGCTACTCTTAAAGCGAATAACAGAACGAAACAAGTCGAGTTGAGCAAGACACATCAAAATCGTCATTCCTAATCGACAACACAATTGAATAACATCTTACATTAACTGCATATGAACAACCGAGGGACCGGGGTGATCACCTTCAAAAGGGCAGGAAATTCTGGGGGCTTTCTTCTGTCATTTGTTTTGTTTTCCATTTGTGGTGAATATAGCCAACAACAAAAGGCCCCTCCATCAAAATCACGGGGTAGAAAGAATCTTTCTACTTGACTTGGCAGAGGGAGACTGACTGAGTGAGTTATGGTGGTTGAGTTGGTGTTCCTGTTACAGTAGAAGTAGTAGCAGCGATGGTGGTGGTCGAGGAGTGGGGACGCTTGAGCTTGAGAAGGTGAGAAATGGCAGCAACCACATGCAATCGACTGCTGGGAACTCCAGTCTTCCCCACCGCCTTGCCATTTTTGTCCACCATTACAAAACAGGGAACGTACTTTATGTCATAGTGCAGCAGCTGCAAACCCACAACACCAGCAAAACACTTTCAGTCATCTAAAGACTAAAATACTACAAGTAATCTATGCTTGCTTGCTATAAACAAGTTCATCATTATGCTATCATAATCCAATCCCAATTTAAGCAAGGATTTGTAAATGCCTGAGCTGAAATGGGTAGTTTATGTCAACTTTTGGTTTGAAGTAGATGAGAGACTGTTAAAATGTGTGGCAAGTTGAAATCCACCCATTTCAAATTCATGATTTTGAAATGGGTGGATTTCCAACACAATCACACATCATTAACCTAAATTAACCTCAAGATCGTCCCTTTGCGTGACTTCAAAATGTAAGCTAGACGAGACGACAATTCAGATCATACGAAACATGATTCAACGACATCATTCATGCATACACAACATATTCAGATCATATGCCACCATTCATTTCTTGTTATAGGAACTCAGATGGTGGGTGTTTGTTTCAGGTCAATTTTACCTCAGGCAGCCAATTCTCGTTCTCTGCATCGGCTATCACGACATTGACCCAATTCGAGTTCCTCTTCTCCACTTCCGCTACGAAACTAACCAACGAGTTGCAGAGCGTGCATTTTGGGGAATAGAATTCAAGCACCGTCGCCTCTTTCCCACTCGCCAGAGCCGAAGCGAAAGCTCTCTGCTCCGCCTCCCACTGCGCTTCCGGTGTCAGCGCACTTCCCTTTCCGGTCGCGGGTCCCAATTGGATGGGATTCAAGCTCTTCTTCGCCCAAGAGGTCGGTGAATTGGAAATCGAATTGAAGGTTCTGAGGGCGACGGAGCCCAAGGTGTTGAGAGATTTGAACAGCCATGGGCGGTCGTAGGAGCAGAGATTGGAGTTTGTTGTAGGATGATTCTGAGGGACGGCGTCCCACTCCCACGGCCATTTTAGACGGAAGAGTGGTTGCATTGGAGCTGCTTCGTTCTTCATCTCCAGTTTTTGTTTGGAGAATTAAAAGATTTTGTAGAGTTCCGTACAATACGGGGTTAAGTCCCTAAATTTTGTTTTTTTTTTATTTACCACGAATATAGTGGTTTAAAAATTATTTATAAGAATATTGTGTTTTTTGGTACGTTGAAAGCGCTCAAGCCTTAGACTCAAGTGCGGCTGCTAGGTGTTGTTTTTTTAATAAAATTCAGTGGCGGCGCCGGAGACTAGAGCTTTGGCGCTTAAAAAAGAGCAAAAGCGGCGGCGCCCCAGACTGAGGCTTTGCCGCTGCTTTCTTTTCTTCCACTCCAGCACCAATATATATACTCCACCTTTCCTTCGGTTCTTCACCACCAAAAAACTAAAAGGAGTTCCGGAAGAAGCTCTGGTGTTGCTGTCTGGTTGCTGGGAAGATGACTAATAATAGGTAAGAGACATTTATTTTTTTAATGTATTCTTCATAATGATTTTGTACAGTTAGTAATTAGTGAGTTTGTTTTTTATGTAGTGGTTTTAGAAGATTTGAACTAGCTGTTCGGTGGAAATCAGAGAAAGTAGAGGACAATTTGGGTGTCCATTTCGTTGGTGGTGTAAGTTTTCAGATGACTATTACATCCAGGGTGAACTATCAGAAACTTTGTGATAATCTCATTCGGAGAATACGACGTAGAGATGAAATAGTACAAGATAGTGTTGTGATTACAGGTTTCACTTACTATCTTCCAGAATGGCAGAATGGTGTTTTATTTCATTATGCAATGCCTATTGTCGATGATGATAGCTCAAATGTGCTTTGGGATTTTATGGCACAAAATCCTTATTGTTTGGGTACTGAGATACATGTTGAGCTCAGTGAGGATCGGGGTGGAGAGGAAGAAGATGACACATGGAGCATGGCATTCGATCATGACTATGATGACGGAGAGGAGGAAGACGATGAGGAGGAGGAGGACGACGACGACGGGGAGGAAGGAGAACAACCTAATTATCCTCCATATTTTTACTTGCAGGGTAATGAAGAGGACGAGGAATTATCATATGCCGATTCATACGGCGTAATTCCAAGGCCTATTGTTGGTGGTTTTGATGGAGAATTCTACAAGGGGCAAATATTTCACTCGAAACAAGCTGCACAGGTGGCGATTAAACACTATGCACTACAACGCAACTTTCAGTATAACGTGGTGGAGTTGTCACCTTCAATCTGGAAGATCAGATGTTTATGCACAAGGAGGACAAATGTCCTTGGATGGTGCGGTTTGGAAGTCGAGATGTGGGAGGCGATTGGAGCGTGAGAAAGGCCGAGTTGGTGCATACTTGTAGCAGTACGACTCAACCGACGAATCATCGCCATCTTGATGTCGACGTTATATCTGAGACCGTGAAACACTTGGTACGTGCTCAACCAAATTTGAGTGTTCTTACTGTGCATGCCGAGTTGAAAGATAAGTTTAATGTGCAAGTTACTTGGTATGGGAAACAAAGAGCATTGGAGAAGTTGCATGGAAATTGGGAAGAATCCTACGATTTTTTGCAAACATTCTTGCGGGTGGTCAAGAGAAAAACGCCAACATCGGTGATTGATTGGGTAAGAGTTCCTTCGACTCAACCAGGTCATTCGATATTTCAGCGAGTATTCTGGGTTTATGGACATTGTATAGATGGATTCAAGAATTGTCCAGGCGTCATGGTTGTTGATAAAACATTTCTTACTGGGAAGTATAAAGGAGTGCTACTCATGGCGAGCTCATTTGATGGCCGGAAGAAGATTTTTCCAATTGCATTTGCCATAGTGCAGAGTGAGAATACTGATAGTTGGCCATGGTTCATAAGTCACGTTCAGGGTTTGACTGATCAAAATGATGTCTACATCATCTCAGATAGACATGCAGGACTCTATGAAGCCATGAATAACATCGGAAGAGGTTGGGAGTGGAGGTGGTGCATGCGATACTATGCAAGCAATTTGCAAAGGAAGACTAAAAGCAGAATTATGTATAAGCAACTATTTCAAGTCGGTAAGCCTTCATTTAATTTTTTTATTTATTTTCATGTAATTTTGTCATGAATTTATCTAACCCGTATGGTTGTTTATTTTGTTAGCCGGAGAAAAACGCTTGGAGAAGTTCGATCGTCAAGTTGAGCAATTTAAGAAGGTGGCCACTGATAGAAATATTTCATGTGATAACTGGGTGGACCAACATCAAATTCGTTGGAGTTTAGCACATGATAACTACAATGGTGGGCGTCGTTGGTCTATCCTGACATCCAACATGGCAGAAAGCATCAATGGTGTTTTCAAAGGTATTCGTGCACTTCATATAGCTTCTCTTGTGCAACATACCATATTGGTGATTGGTGGAGAAATTCGATAAGTACAAGTTGGTGACAGGAGCAGAAATTAGAAGTGGTCCTTCACAGTACTCCAGCAAGTGCGAAGAGCTGATGAAGCCGTGGTCACAAAAGGCAGTTGGACATTCCGTGACAGCTCTTGATCAACGTCAAGGCATCTATGTAGTTCAGACTCCTCCAAACAATTTCAACATGACGGGGTCAAACACACTCACAGTGCACTTTCGCGACCCCAACCGGGCGGGATTTTGCACTTGTGGGAAATTTCAAGGAAATAAAATTCCTTGCTCTCATGTTATTGCAGCTTGCAACCGAATGGGGGCTAATCCATATAGGTTTGTAAACGATGTCTACAAGCTTCAAACAGTGGTGGCTTGTTATGGGACAAGTTTCGCTCCTCTTCGTGAGCCTAAGGGTTGGAAGAAGCATAATGACCCTACTCTCCACCCTAATTTGCACATGATTAGAAAGCCGGGGAGGCCAAGATCAACATGAATTCACAACGAGATGGATTGGCCAAGGGAGGGTTCATCACAGCAAGTGTGTAGCAACTGTAACCAAGCGGGACATAATGCATCAACCTGTGGTTGCCAAGGAAGTGGGAGTGGGAGCAATCGAAGAGGGAGTGGTGGCCAACAAAGTGCGAGAGGTGGTAGAAGAGGAAGTAGAGGGAATAGACGTGGCTGAGAAGTTTGTTAGAATGTAGCAGTAGTTGTATTTCTTTCGATTTACCTTGCAGAAGTTGTTGTTGTTTGAAGTTCGTCCGCGCGATGGCCCATGCCTGTATGAACTGCTGGCCACGTGATGGCCCATGCTGTCCCTGACAAAGAAAAAACCTAATCTCAGCAGCGGAATGTGGAGGATGAGACCGGTCCTGAATCATCCCAAACTGTCCGAGCACGCGATCTGGATGATGCCACATCTGCGATGAGAAGCAGATCAGTGGAACTACTAGATCACAGTACCGTTGTAGTCCTGACCTCTATGAAAGTACAGACGCCACTGCACACAAGGATTGGTCACATAATTACTCCTAAATCTATAACAAATCAATTAAAACTATTCTATAAAACGAAATGTTATATACTAACCACGAATGTCGTGCACTCGTCAAACCACAACTTGTACAGGTAGAACTGATCTCCATGCTGACGGGTGTGGGCCGGAAGCCATCGAAGGCCACGTGGTACTGCGTCCTGAGTAATCTGCGCACCCGTCTCCGCATGTAGTGGTGATGTATGAGGAAACCGCTCCCACGTCCAGATCATCAGCAAGGCGGACCATCCACCAAAGTCACCACCCAGTGAAGAAGATGTCGTCATCTGCAGGCCGATCTACCCATCTCACGGTACAAGTAGGATAGCACAGCTGCTCCCCAAGCAAACCTCCCCGCTCTGCACCAATCCTCCACCAAAAGTAGGTAATGCAGGTGAACTGAACCTCCAGATCGATCGGAGAACAAGACACCTCCCATCAGAGACAGTGCATACGCTCTTGCAAACTGCTCTGTCGTCTGGGGTGATGCAGAAAGCGGTAGCTCATCGAAAGTCTCCTTGAGCCAAGCAATCCGGATGATGCCGCCGCCAAGATCAGTAGGAACATGTCCTAACAGCCGAAGACACATAGCAGACCAGTCCTCGTCTGGTATGTCTACTACGACGGCATCACCGTCGATCGCTAGACCGGTCAGTGTCGCAACGTCCTCTAAGGTGATCGTCAACTCACCGAACGACATGTGGAAGGTCGATGTCTCGGGTCGCAAACGCTCTACGAGCGCAATAATCAAACCCGGATCACCGGTAAGAGGGGCTAGTGGCAGAACACTAGACAAGCTCGCATCGACGAGATACGGCAGGTAAAGTGGATGGTATCGCACTAAATTGCCCGTATGAGGAATGTGGTAAGATCGATCACCAGCCTATAATTAATGCACAAAACTTATATTAATTCAATTCACCTAATATTTATATTTATATATCTAAATTAAACTTATTATAATACTACTCATAAGTTAATTTAATCTAATTCTATTCATAATTTAATTTAATTCTATTCATAATTTAATTTAATTTAATTAAGACCTATTCGTAATTTAATTTAATTCTATTCGTAATTTAATTTAATTCTCTTCTATTAAGCTAATAAAAAACTATAGAAATAGTTTGAAAACTTACCTCGTTTGCCCAAACTGCGTCAATACGATGGTGACCATGCCCCCAAAGAAGTTCCGGATCCACCGGAGCTGAAAAGATTGTCGCAGGTGGTGGTCTCATCGAAAAAGGGTCCATAAGCCTAGGAACTGGAGAAAAAAAAATTAGAACCTAAAAAAAATGTCGCCGACGGTGAGAATCAGGCTACCGCCGGCGAGAATTCGGCGACCGCCACACTTATCCCTGTACCGTTCGCCGCCGCCACGACGCCCTCACCGCCCTCTGCCCCTTCCTCTGCCGGGCGCCTGCTCGTCGTCGTCGGACATGGTGGGGAGAAGCTAACAGATCTGTCGGGGAAGATGAGAGCGACGACGCTCTGGGTACGGCGGCTTCGTCGGGAAGCTGGCGCTGGCGCCTGAGATTCGGCGTCGCTGTGCTTTCTCTCGACGTCGTCGCTGGGTTGGAGGCGAGGAGGACTGGTGTGGTGTGTGGTGGTGTCTGGCGAGATGGCGAGAGTGACTGGTGAGGAAAGAAGAAGATAAGAAGGAAAAGGAAGGTAGCGACGGCGCCCGAGACTCAGGCGAAAAATTTCAGTAGCGCCAAAGCCTGAGTCTCGGGCGCCGTCGCTACCTTCCCCCTTCAAAACACAATATTCTTGTAAATTATTTTTAAACCACTTTGTTCGTGGTAAATAAAATAAAAACAATATTTAGGGAATTTACCCTGCAATATGATTTTATATATTTTCAACCCATAAAATAGAGTTGCACCGAGAATTAAGAAGAGAGTATTTACTATTTACTATGTTTCAACTTATAGTAATTAAATTTTTAATAGGGCTAGTTTAGCTTTTGCACTTTTGGAAAGTATTTTTTTTATAAAAAAAAATAGTTGGGTGTTTGGCTGAAAAATTATTAGAAGTGTTTTTTTTAATATGAGAGATTATATAAAATGATTGTAACACTATATTTGACAACAAGGGATTGCAAATTCGAGAGCTTGTATAAAATAACCGCTTCCCTAATCAACGGTCAGAAGATCCCCGTTGTTCACGAAAGCGGGGATTGTTTCCCCATTTTTCTCCTCAGCGGTGATAGCATCATTGTTTTTTTCAAAAGCGGTGATGTTATCACCGTTTTAGACTAAAACGGTGATTATAATCATTGTCTTCGTCTTCGACAGTGATGTTGAAACTGCTGTACTTTGGGAAATAACTTTATAAGTACTGTATTTAGGGATTTTTTTTTTAATAATTAGAGTATTCTGGGATTTTTTTCCAAATTCGAGATAGGTGCAAGTTGAGGGGCAAATTGCAAGAGAGTGCAAATTGGTGCGAGTGTAAGTGGAGGGGTAAATTGTTGTTTGGATAAAAAAGTAGGGGTGCAAATAGAGTTAAAAGTAAATATTATATTAATATAAAATAGATTTATCAAATTTATAAAATATTATCACAAAATAATAAAATAATCGTATAATAATTAATATACTTTAATAAAATTAATTATTATGTAATGCTGAAATAATAATTAATTATAACAATTGTACTAATTATTGGTCGAGCGAACTCGAAGCCCAACTCATAAGTGGTCATGCTACAAAGTTCTCGTGTCTAATATATCTTTAAATTGAATATGGTCAAACTTAGTCAAACAAGTTCCCCTAACACTTCTTACCTCTAATTTTCAATGCAAATTCGAGTCAGCCAAGAGATCTCTATTTGACTAGACTAACATTGATAAACTTGCTCTAGGAGTCAAACGGTCAACTCCGAACAATGTCAATATTAAAGATAAATATAATTATTATAATTTCCATAAATTGATAATACTAATTATTATATAATTAAAAAACAATTAAAAAATAAAAATTCATAATTTTCCCACTCTCCCTCTCTTCCTTCCTTCCCTTGCACCTCAATTTGGGGTAAGCCGAAATAGTAATTCTGTACCTGCAGTTTGAACCCCCTACTGTTCCAAATTATGCAAACAAGTGCAAATGTGTTGGAAACTGTGTTTACCCCTCACATTTGTATCCTCCTCCCATTACCCCTCTTCCCAAACAGAGTGTAAATGATTTAGAATATTAAATATGAATAAAAATTCTAAATAATAAAAAGTAATCCATATGGATCTTGTTAGATTTTTTATATTAAATAATATGACTTTATAATTTATTTTATTTTATAATGATATAAATGAAATAAGATTATATATTCTGAAATAAGATTAAAATATGTTAAGGATAATCTTGAATTTCAAACCAGTTTTTCACATAAGTTTCAATCGGAACTTCAGTTTTTATGTTATACAAAAGCACTTTTCAGCTTTTCAAAAGCCGAGCTTTAGAGATGTTTGGCCATGCTTCTAAGGATGGCAATAGTAGGGTCGGGTGCGAGTTTACCCTATACCAACTCCTAACCTGTCGGGTAGAGCCTCCTAAAATACCCGACCAAATAACCACCGAGTATGAAAATGATATAACCATACCCTACTGTTACGCGGAAGATTCTAGAGCATTCTAGAACGATGCAAGTACATGCATGCATCTTCCGATTCATGCACCAATGTACATGCATCCCCCTTTTCTATCTTTTATTCATGCACCTTATTTATTACATTCATGTATGGGGCTGGTTCATGTATGGGGGGACTATCTAGGTTCGTTCATTTATGACGGCCATGTACATTGTACTTAGTGGAGAGGATGCCTATATAAGCAGCCATCTCCACCACTTTTCATTCATCCAGAAATTGAGAGTTTTCCATCTCTAGAGCATTTCTCCATACTTGTGAGTTTGAGTGAATACGAGCAAGGCTGACTTAGCGCTCTAACGAGACTTGAGTGCTAAGTGCCGCACGGCCAAGAGTTGGTCCGTGACAAGTGGTATCAGAGCCAAGGTCGTAGCTCATCAAGTGAGAAAGAACCTCGAGGAGATGACTGGATCCGGAAGCGAAGTTCTCAACAATGAGGAACAACGCGGTCGTGAGGAGAAGAAGGATCCAAATGCCAAGAAGAATCGTGATAGATCAACTCGAGAGCCTTTGGTGGCGATCGAGGAGAGGCTCAAGAGAGCAGAGACGAAGATTGCCAAGCATACAACCTTGTTCGAGGACATGGAGTCGAAATTCGATCAAGTCAGCGGAGAGGTGCAGACTTCGAAGGACGACATGCAAGGCATGGGCACTCGAATGTCAGGCTTGGAGGTGGGGTTAGAAGCATTCAGAGACGAGTTTGTGACCATCATCACCAACGCCATCGACTCCTTAAGGGAGACCGTTCGAGGCCAGGTGGACGAAGTGAGGGAAGAATTTGACGAGCTTCGAGGAGAGCTCAATCTCGTCAAACGAGCCGTGGCTAACGGACCTGCCACGCCTCAATCCACACCACGAGTAGATGTTCCAAGGCCTAAGAACTTCGGTGGGTCGAGGAATGCGAGGGAATTAGAGAATTTCCTCTGGAGCCTAGAACAATATTTCAAGGCTTCGGGCATCAATGATAATGAAGTCATGGTGCGCACTGCCTCCCTTTACTTGGTCGACACGGCCATGGTTTGGTGGAGAAGGAGGCAAGGTGATATAGAGAGAGGCACATGTGTGATGAACACATGGGAGGATTTCCGTCGGGAAATCAAAAGACAATTCTACCCAGAGAATGTCGAAATGGAGGCTCGTGCAAAGCTTCGACGACTCACCCACACCGGCGGAATTCGTGACTATGTCAAGGAGTTCTCGGAATTGCTACTCGAGATCCCCGATCTGCCGGACAAGGAGGCTTTGTTTAGCTTCCTTTTCGGATTGCAGCCTTGGGCGAAGTTGGAGCTTGAGAGGCGTGGAGTGCAAGATCTTGCTACTGCCTTGGCAACGGCAGAGGCTCTCACGGAGTACAAGAAGAGTGAGCGGCCGAACGAGTCAAAGAACTCGAAGAGCAAGGGAGGAGATCATCGGCAGCACTCCAAAGAGGGGAAAGGCTCGTACCAACATGAAGGCTCGAGCAAGGGAGCAAGATCTGGTAACCATGATAAACCCATGTCTTGTTTCCTTTGCAACGGTCCACATAAGGTGCGAGATTGCCCAAAGAAGAGCAAACTAGCAGCCTTGGAGAAACAAGAAGGGGAGACCAAGGAGAATGCTAGAGAAGACGAAGGGAAGATAGGCTCCATGCGGAGACTAGGCGCGGCGAAGTCCGGCGCCAACGAAGTTAGCAAGGGGAGATTCTTTGTAATCACCCAATTTGAGGGAGGCGAGTCAAAAGCATTGGTTGACACCGGTGCAACCGACAACTTCCTTCGGGTAGAAGAGGCAGAGCGCTTGGGGATCGCTTACGAGAAGAGGCAAGGATCGCTCAAGACAGTCAACTCGGAGGCAATACCCATCCATGGCGTTGCTAAGAACGTGCCATTGAAGATTGAAGGATGGGAAGGTGTTGCCGACTTTAGCGTCATCACTATGGATGACCATCCGGTCATTCTTGGCGTCAATTTCATGGAGAAGGAGGGCGCGGTGATGGCGATGAATTCCAACACTCTCTGCCTTGATAAGGGAGATAAATTTTGCGCGATGAAGATGTTGCGCGAAGAAGGGCCGAA